AAGGTGAAAATCAAGCTCAGTAGGAGAGATGAGAAGAGTCAGGACAAAGGAAAAGGCAAGAAAAGACCAAATAGAGGAAAAGCAAAGCCAATGGTGAGTGACTGTGACAGCGACGAAGAGCAGGATGAAAATGACCAGTCAGAAGCCAGTGGGGCTAAGGAGGAGTGATCCCTGCGGAACTGAATATATTGCCTCCCTTCTCCCATTTCCACCCAGTGGCTTCACGTGTCCTGTGGGCACTGGCTTGTTTCTGTGTTTCACTATTCTAGCTTCAGAGTAGTGCTCGACAAACATATGATGTGATGGTGTAAAAAACACAAAGTTTGTAGCATGTTGTGACCAAATGAGCCTCAAAGATTCGAAGATTCAAACAAACAAAAGCTTTTGATGGAAAATGTGGGTGGGCAGTATATTTCTATGGCTGGGTCTAATTTAGCAAAGGTTTGTGCCTGGTTTTATCACCTGTTTGGATGAGATTTTTGTTTTTTTGTAGCACTAGTAACCAGGAGAAGCCATTAAAAGCCACTGGCTACTTTATTTTTCATCAAGCAATTTTCAAGATTTTTATTTGTTTGTTTGTACCCACTGTGGTACATATAAGCAACTTTAATGAGTGATAAATGTACAGTAGATTTCACCTACATATACATTTTCACCTTTAAACTCTATGACCTGAAAAATGCTTTTAAAATTGTGTAAGATTTATGTCTACTGTAAGTATTGCTTAATTTTTTTTTTTGCTCTTGGTTTTTTTTTTTTTTTTTTTTTTCAGTACTGGGGATTGAACTCAGGACCTTGTGCTTGCCAGGCAAGTGCTTATTCTACTGAGCTATCTCCCCACCCCCTGGTCTTGGTTTAAAAAAAAAAAAATTGTTGGGGCCGGGGAGATGGCTCAGTGGAATAAGTGCTTCCCTGGCAAGCGCAAGGACCTGAGTTCAATCCCCGGTTCCACTAAAAAAAAAAAAAAAAAAAAAAAAAAAAAAACTGTTGAAAATGCTATTGAATATTGTGATCTATATAGTGTACTGGATGGCTTCTTTTGTCCACCTGATTTCCTATGTCACCAATGTGTATTGTCTCCATTTCTCTAAAGTGTAATCTTTATTTTCTTTGCACAATGTCTTTGGTTGCAAGTCATAAGCCTGAGGCAAATAAAATTTCAGTAATTTTGAAGATTATGGTGTTGTTGCTTTCCTAATAAACATAATTTTATTCAAAAAAACAGAAAACTATAGATCAATACCCCTGATGAACCCAGACTCAAAAGTCTCAACAAAAATGTTAGAAGATAAATTCTAACAGTACATCAAAAAGATTGTGCAGTTTAGTCAATTTGGATATATCCTAGGGATGCAAGGATAGTTCAATGTGGTACAACACATCAATACAATGAAGGATAATTATCTGCAATGAAAAATTATTATATGATCTCAACAGATGCAAAAAAGGGCATACAATAGATTTAAAATCACTTCATGATAAAAGTCTTGAACAAATTGGGTGTAGAAGGATTCATCTTCAACACAATAAATGTTGCAGTGTACGACAACTGTAAAGCCAACATCACGCTGAGTGGGGAAGAACTGAAAACATCTGCTGTAAGACCTGGACTAAGACAAGGATTCCAATCATATTACTCATATTCAGTATAATGCTTGAAGTATTTTTCTTAGAACAATAAACACAAGTTAATGGGATTCACTGTGACATTTCCATACACTCACATATTATGTCTTAATCATATTCACCTTGCCTGTACTAGAACCTTCGCCAAAACAACCAAACATGAGAAAGAAATAAAAGACACACAATAGGAGGCTAATTAATAGCCTTGTTTATAGATTATATAATTTTTATATAAAAGCCTAAAGACTCCACCAAGACTATTAGAACAAATAAATGATTTCTGTAAACTTTCAGGATACAAAGTCAAGGTACAAAAACCCATTTTAGAAGTCAATAATGAACTTCGTGATAAATCATAAAAATACACATTCATAATAGCTATAAAAATATTTAGGAATAAATTTAACCAAAGAAGTGACAGAGATCTACTATAAAAATTACAAAATTGTGATGAAAGAAATTGGAGAAAATTTGGAACTACCTAAGTTCATAAATTGGAAGATATTATTAAATGTTCACACTACCCCAAATAATCTACAGATTCAACACAATTGCAAACAAAATACAAATGACATTCTTTACAGAACTAGAAAAAGAAATCCTAACATTCATATGGGAGCACAAAAGACCTAACTATCTGAAGCGCTCTTGAAGAAAAAAAAACAAAGCTAGAAGCTCACCACATCTGACTTCAAAATATTCTTCAGAGCCGTAGTAACCCGAACGGCACTAGGCTGGCACAAAAACAGATACTAAGGCCAATGATACAAGATGAGGTCCTAGAAATAAACCTATACACCTGTAGCTGATTTTTCCCATAGGTACAAAAACACACATGGAGGAAGAACAGCCTTTTCAGTAAGTGCTAGAAAAACTGGATACCCATATGCAGAAGATTAATCTTTCATTCTTTACAAAAATCAATTCAAATCCAGGAGGGGTGGTGCATACCTGTAATCCCAGTACTTTGGAGGCTGAATCAAGAGGATATCAAGTTTGAGTCTACCCTGGACAAATTACTCAGGATGAAGAGACCTTATCTCAAAATATAAAATAAAAAATGGCTGGGGATATAGTTTAGTATGCAGGTCCTGAGCTCAGTCCCTAATAACCAATTCCCCACAATCAACTCAACCTGTATGTAAGGCTCATTGGTGATGAACAAGCACAGAAAATAGGCTGTACATACATCCTAGGCTATGACTCACCCATAAAAAATGATTTCCTGCCATTTGCAGCAAAATGGATGGTACTGGGGGATATTATGTTACGTGAAATAAGCCAGACGCTGAAACATAAGTAATGCTTATTCTCATAGGAGTCAACCTGAATATCCAACAGTGATTACTAGAGGTTGGGAAGGGTATGTGTTGGGGGAGGAGAAAGGTGAGTAAAACACCTTTACATGTGAGCATACAGGCAAGTCCAACTTGCGTCTCCTGGGTCCAACGAATATTTTTAATTCCAAGTTATATATTTAATCTGATGGAAAGTAGAATAAGTATAACTAGCATATCAAACTCAGAATCTTCATAAAGTACTTTCAAGCACACACTGTGTGTACATGTGGAAATGTTACATTGAACAATATATACAATACATGTAACTAAAACATGACATAAAGTAAAATAAGTAATCTATGCTTGGCACAGAGAAATTTAAAATGAGGATTACAAGACAGAAAACAGTGCTCTCCAAATCAATTCTTCCAAGTTCATCAACATGATCTTTAGTGTTTGCTGAAGTCTTCCCAAAGTTACTCTAAGATATGTTTGGAGAAAATGATGCAAAAATGATGTTAAAAGAATACAGCCATATCCTATTCTATTTTTTGAATAACAACACACAAGATTGCATGTGGTGCATCGGTGAGTTGGTTTATTTATTTATTTTTGTGCTTCCATAAACCTTTCTTTACCAAATCATTTCCTGGGCTAGAGCAGAGTCTCACTCATGAGTCGAAACCACCTGCAGGGCTTGCTAAAGTAAATCACTGGGCCAAACCCCCAGAGCCCACTGTTTCTAGGCACTGCTGCGGCTGGTGGTCCAGAACCACACCTCGAAAATCTCTGGACTACAAGTAGGAGAAAGAAAGAATCTAGAATAATTTACATTCTCTACCCATAGGAGCATACAGGCAAGTACAACTTGCGTCTCCTGGGTCCAATGAATATTTTAAATTCTAAGTTATATATTTAATCTGGTGGAAAGTAGAATAAGTATAGTTAGCATATCAAACTCAGAATTTCTATAAATAATATTTTCAAGGCCACGTTAAAAGTCATATGCTTCTTTAAAAAATAAGACTAGTTATCCTAAAAGTTATAAAGAAGGCAAACAAAATGGCTGAAGTTTGTGAATACTCTAATATTTATGTAACTGAATACCATAACATTGCTCTAGTGTTCATATAATTTCAAAGCTTCATAGCATAAAATTTACATGTGAGTAGGTTATTAGCTACAGAATTTCTGTTCATTTATTTAGTTTTATATCAGATTGGGACCATGACTCAACATATTGTTTATAAAATAATTTTCATTAGATATAACCCCTACTGGGAATATACTATGTTACTAGTTTAAGATATATATAGTATCTAGTTTCTATGCATTAGAAGTTTGTTAAAAATTATATTTTTTTTAATTTTAAAAAATTTTCTGTGGTATTGAAGATTGAACCCAGGGCTTCACGCACGCTGTATCACCAGCTTCATGTATCCCCAAAGCTGTGCTTTGAGACAGGCTCTCACTAAGTTGCCCCGGCTAGCCTTGAACTTGCAATCCTCCTGCTTCATCCTGAGTAGCTGGAATTAGAGGTGTGCACACCATGCTTGGCTGCTGTATATATTTTTAAATGTCTTTCCCTCAAGTGTTTATTTTGAAAAATCCCAAGCCCTGCAGAAGTGAGCAAGTCTGCTGTTCTCTCAGGGCTGGAAGGTTACAGGTGTGTGTGTGTGTGTGTGTGTGTGTGTGTGTGTGTCTCACAGGTGTGTGTGTGTGTGGTTTCTGGGACCCAGGCAAGGTGAAGGTGGGGACACAGCATGCTAAAAAATGAGGTCTTTTCAGATCATTGCATTCATGTCTGTTTCTCTTCATCTACTTTTTTCTTGTCTTGTTAGATTTTCCTTGTTGCCCCTTCTGAGAGGGAACGCTCCCTTCTTTGCCTGTGGTGTTTGCTCTGCATACCTTGTGCTGAGCTACAAGTTTGTTTATAAACTTTCTTCCAAAATGAGTAATTTAATATTGAATAAAAAGATCTGATAAAATTTTTCCACATGTATAAATTCCGAGTTTACCTCAGCACAACTACATGCTGCTATGTGAAGGCCTGTGGCTTAAAGTTTCTCACATTTGTAGTCACATAATTTCTCACGGACATGGATTTTCGTATGTTGATTAAGATGTGCACTCTGACTAACAGCTTTCCCACACTCATTACATTTATAGGGCTTTTCTCCTGTGTATGTTCTTTCGTGTTGATTAAGATGCGTCCTCTGGCTGAAGGCTTTCCCACAAAAACCACATTCATAAGGTTTCTCTCCAGTATGAAGTCTATGATGTTCAGTGAGAGAGGTGATACGGCTAAAGGCTTTGCCACATTGATTGCATCTATAGGGCTTCTCTCCAGTATGGATTCTCAGATGCTGAGTGAAGGAAGAATGTTGACGGAAGGCTTTCCCACATTCATTGCATACAAAAGGTTTTTCCCCTGTGTGAATTCTCTGGTGTTGAACAAGATGTATTCTCTGGCTGAATCTCTTCCCACATTCATCACACTTATGGGGTTTCTCACCCGTGAGCACTATCTGAGGTTGGGTACGAGACAAACTGTAGTCGAAGCCCTTTCCACATTCACTGGATTTCTCTTCAGTATGAATATGATTAGTGAAAAGAATATGTTGGTTGAAGATTTCTCCATGCTCATTATATTCATAGGGATTTTCCCTTACATAGTTTCCCTTATAGTAAATCCAGTCTGAATTATGTTTGATAGCATTTCCTAGTGTGTTATAGTTAAGGGGTATTTTAGTTGAAGGAATCCTTCGATGTATATGTTTTGAGTTCTTTTTATAGTTATCAAATTTTTTACATTTAATGCTTCTCTCCTGTATAATCCTTTGGTGGGTGGAAGATACTAGTTCCAAATGTCTCTGCTGGTTTTCTTGGTTAAATTCATACTGATAATCAAAATCCCAGAGTCCTGCTAAGATTGAATACCAGAAGCTGTCTCCCACTAGTCTTTCCGTAATCATGTCACAGCTTTGATTTTCACCAGAAATATTCTGGTTTAGAGTTGAGTTTTTGATTTTAGGTCCGCTGTCCCCATCTAAAAGAGATACAGAGTACACAAATATTTTCAAATATTTTCCACGGTTTCAAACATCAATTGCTGCACATTGGATTACGAAACTGACAATGCTACGTACACGGCACACGCGGTGTTGAAGGTAGGTGCCCATGTAACGAGGGGAAAGGCTGTAAAGGATGACAAAACACAACAAACAAGGGGAAATTCAAAAATGTGTGTGGTTTAAACATAAAGTGTAGATAATTTCCTCTCTAGGTTGCTACTCACCATTTATTAAAGGCCCACCTTTCAAAAGACATTATTTGCTAAAATGTTTCCTTTCTCTCTAATTTGAGTATTCCTTTTTTTTTTTTGGTCGGAATCAGGGATTGAACTCAGGCCCTTGCAGCGCTTATTCCACTGAGCCATCTCCCTGGCCCCCTCTAATTTGAAATAATGCCTCTGTTCATGTGTACTTGGAGCTACTTCTTTTTTTTTTTTTTTTGGCAGAACCAGGGATTGAACTCAGGCCCTTGTGCTTGCCAGAGAAGCGCTTATTCCACTGAGCCATCTCCCCAGCCCCTTGGAGCTACTTCTAAATTTTCTATTCTATTCAGTTGGTCTGACTTGTTTGAATCAATGAAACTTTAGTTTATATTTTAGTATTCTAAAGAGAAAATCTTTTATTTAGTTTTTCCTTTTCAGAGCTTATTTGATAGAGGGCCTTGCTACACCAGACTCATAGTGACCATCTGTGTCAGCCTGCCCAGGGCTGGGATTTCAGGAGTGTGTCACCACATTCAGCTTTGGGGCTGGCATGGCATGGCATGCCTAGGGTTCTGGGGCCAGCCCAGCCCAGCACGCAGTATCTGGAATCAAACTTGGGTCCTTATACTTTCCAAGAAGGTGCTTAAACCATAGAGCTAGCTCCCTAATCCTCTTTACACAGTTTTCCACCAGTAGTATCTGGAATGGTGTAGAGCCCTCTACCTGCTTTCCTAATTCCACACCCTCAACAGGAACCTTACCTCTGAAACTGCCAAGAAGTTAGAAGTCACCCTGTGGGACTGCCCCAAATCTTCCACCAACAAATTTATTTACATAAGCTGTTGTCCTGCTTTCCCTCCAATCACTTTCCCAGGTCTTCTAGAACCTTGGATCATCTCTCATATATGTTTTCTATTTACCCTCTTTACTGACTTCTTGCCTTCAGGGCTATAAACAAGCTAAAATGGAAAAAGGGCCAGGAGGTAAAGTCAACATAACCAAGGCAAGAAACCATCCCCTGATTTTAGCCACTGCATTGGATTGGACAGGGTTAGTCAGTGCTCATCTCCTCGAGAGCAAATTTAGCAGCACAGGCTAGGCGAGGGGTTTGGATCCCAAAGTGAGCACGAGAATCAGAAATGAACTTGTGGGGTCACGTGGGAACTTTAAAGAGTCTGACAAAAGAAAAGAAAGTGAAACAAGAAAGGTAGGTCAAAATAATAGAGGAATTCTGATTTGGAAGAGGAAGATGTAAAGACTACTGGCAAGATAAGACTACTGGCAAGATACAGGAGCAAAAATTACAGAGAAAAGCACAGCGTGGAGAGCCAGAACATCAAGGTTCCTTCCTATGGGTGCTCACACTTGCAGAAGAACTTCAATCTTGGGTAAACTGTGTTCACAACGAATCTATGTTTCCTGTTCAGTCAGGAAACCATTACAGTCTTTTGCATTTTGGAGACCTGCAATTCAGTACCGTGGAAACCCCAGTGGGAGATGCAGCAGCCACACCCAGGTTTCCAAAGGGACCCTTTCAGTTTCCAAAGGGACCCTTCCTTAGGTTCCCCTTGGGAGGACCAAGTGCCAAAGGCACACTGCTCACCTGGGAGAGCACCCACAGGCCACAGCTCTTCCCACTCCAGCTCAGCAATCCTCTGGGGCTTATTCGCCTGGTGCCCTGTGCACGGGGAAAGGTATGGCTTAGCATTATACAGCGGAGCCAAAGGCTCCCCGTGGCCCATGCACGCCCTGTGTGGTCCTTGGGGTCTCTGGCTTTGGACAGCAGAGACTTGGGGCAGCAAGAGGGGGTTTCCCAGGGGGCACTGCCCAGTCAGGACCTTACTTCTTAGGGAGAGTGTGGGAACCAGGCTCTGCGTCCCCAGGACCAGCACTCTTCCCCTGGGGGCTCCACCACAGCCAACCCCAGAGCCCCCCGGGAGCCTCCTCACCCAGCGCCACCACCTTCCTGTAGTTCTCCAGCATCACGTCCCGGTAGAGTGTCTTCTGAGCAGGCTGCAGCTGTTCCCACTCCTCCCTGGTGAAGTCCACAGCCATATCCTCGAAGGTCAGGGGCTCCTGCGACCAAGCACAGCCCATGCCTGCAGAAACTGCTCTGACAGGGGTCTGGGGCAGGAGGCAGAGAGCGGCTGGAGGGAAAGCTTGGATGTCTGGGCCACTGGGCTGAGTCTTCAGGTTTCCTGCCTAATCCAGAGGCCAGGTAAAATGAAATAATTAGTAATTCTTGTATCATCTTTTGAGATATATGAAGTATTCATTAGCTGGGAGAAGTGACAAAGCCCCACAATCCCAGCCACTCAGGAGGCTGACGCAGGAAGACTGCATTAGAGCCCAATGGCACCTATGAGTCCACCTCAAGAAAATAAAACTCATTAAGTACTCCTTGTTTTAGGGCTTTTATATAGTTTGTTGCATGGGAACAACTTGTATATAACTTTAAAACAGCATCAGAACTTCATTTCAGAAAGAAATTCGGGGATGATATTTTGAAACCAGGATAGTAGATATCAAGTAGAAAGATCTTACATAAACCATGAACAGACTTATGTGCACTGGACGGAAAAGGAGAGGTGGATATGACAGTCAGCTTTTACTTATTTATTTATTTTTTTAAGAAACAGATCACTTTTTTTTTTTAAATTTATTTATTTTATTTATTTGTGTGTGTGTGGCCAGCTCAGCCCACCAGGGGGCGGGGCTGGCTGGCATGTGGTGCTAGGGGATTGAACCTCGGTTCCTGCGCTTTGCTGAGCTTGTTCTAAGTAGGTGCTCTAGACCACTGAGCCATCTCACCAGCCCGGACAGTCCGCTTTTAAAAATGCAACAAGAGCACACCAGTTGGGAGCAGAAGACACCAGTTTGCTGGGTTTAGCAAACGAAACTGGTTCAGGTAATGATTTCAAATAAAAACCGAAGAGCATTTCTAAATGTCAACAGCTGCCAATGGTTTATAAGCAGCGCTTTTGCTTCGGAGCCATAAAGGCTCCTGCGAGCGGATTGCCCGCTCCCTCTTCCCGTAGCCCTTCCCACTGGCCGCAGATCCCCTCCAACTTGGGCCCAGTGCCTTCACTCCTCAGACTGAGCAGCGTGCTGTTCTAGGCAATGCCTCTCCTTTTCAAGAGTTGATTCAATATTTAAGTACAATGCTAGGGTTTCAATCTTCACACTTTTGTAATTTGTATTTCTAAAATGCATGTCGGGCCGGGGAGATGGCTCATGGAATAAGCGCTTCCCTGGCAAGCACAAGGACCTGAGTTCAATCCCTGGTTCTGCAAAA